TATTATTCCTATGCTGCAGATGAGGAAACTGAGGCACAGAAACACAAATGATCCATCCACATCCCACAAGTGTCAGCACCCGATGTGAGGATGGTCCTCACATGCACCTCCTCCATGTCACACCTCACCTGCTGGAGGCCTGAGGATGAAAAGATGAACGTGAAGCCCAGCACAGCATGTGAAGGACACCAGCAGCCACTACATTACACTCAGGTCTAACCTCTATCAAACCCTTGGTTTGGGAAATATAGGCCCTCCCTAAATACTTCTGGAGCTCTGTGGGGGAAGATGTTCCACACGTGTAAGTGTCAGACTTGCAAGGGAGCAAAGATAGGATCGGAAGGAAACATTATTAACTACTCAATCAACTTTCTAGTCTAAATGATAATAGCCATTCATAAATGCCCTTTATGAGCTTAAAGGTAAACACTCAATCCATTCCTTGCAGTGTGCCACTGGAATAAAGCTTTAGGTCATAGATGGAAGCAAACAAATTATTTTACTGTTTTTATTATAATATTCCAAGAAAGGACACGTATCTGAACCCTACATTGACTTTCCTCTGTTTGGGGCTTTTGTTTCATTTTGTGAAATGTGGAAAGGGTGTTTCACTGTGTTATCTGAGCTGATCTCAAATTCCTGGGCTCAAGCAATCCTCCTGCCTCAGCCTCCCAAGTAGTGATTTCAGTGTGGAATTATATAAAATGGCACCCAAGAGAGTGAGCTTCACTGATGGAACAGGGGCTTGCAGAGTGCTTGCTATGTGCTGGGACCTCTTTGGGTTCTTGGGATACAACAGAAATAGCTAACAGGAATTGGAGTTTACCTCCCCCTTTCCCTATTGGGAAAAGTCAACTGGAGCTATCTACACTGAGAAGCTTCAAGCACTCTGGTCTCATTTGGCTAGACAGAAAAATCTACTTATCCCCATGGCTCATAAGAGTCTTCTTTGATGACTTTAAATTCCAAGCAGATGATATATAAGAAGCTCTCTTAGCACCCAGCACATGACAGGCACACCCATCAAAAAGGCCTCCACGAGCCTCAAAACAGTATCTTCTGCACCCACCACATTCATCTATACAACTTCCTGTTCTCTTTGTAGATGATTTTTAATCAAAAGTAAGAGAACATCTCTACATGATGAAAAGCAAGAATCATACAGAGAAGGAAACCAAAACACATTGTGAAGCCACTGACATGAAAGTGTGGGTTAGCATCTCATGAAGAAACCATGTCTGGGTTCACAGCACTGTTCCATAAGCTGTGCTGGGGAACACTGTATTCCACAAACACAGAGGACTGTATTGCTTATTTTCCAGGTGCCACTTATCTTTGAAAGCATGCAGCTAATATTTTGCCAGTTGTGGCCAACAGACAGGTGTAAGGAGGGCAGACATTCTTCGGGTTTTAAAAATAGTAGCGTATTAGAACTTGGAAGGCAAGTCCTAACATACCAAAAGCCCAAGATCGGTAAGATTCTATTTAAAACACAGCGTCCTCAGTTCTAAAGCAGCTTCACACCAATGTGCAAGATCAGACTAAACGTTCCCAGATATCCTCAAATGATTGTCCCTTTTGCCCAGTGCTTGCCTTTAAAAAATCATAAAGACTAAAAAAATAAAAATAAATAAAATAAATAAATAAATAAATAAGTAAAAGCATATTTTGCCTAAAAGATAATTCTTACTGCCTGAAGTTTTATAAAAAGCACTGGTAGCCAGATGTGGTAGTGCATGCCTTTAATCCCAGTACTCAAGAGGCAGAGGCAGGGGGATCTCCATGAGTTCAAGGCCAGCCTGGCCTATAAAGCGAGTTCCAGGCCAGCTGGGGCTACAGGGAGACCTTGTCTCAAAAAAGATTTAAAAAACCACGTTTGTCAAACTACTACATTTCTGATCCTCACAACACCTCTGGAAGGTAGGCATTGTTGCCATTTCACAGATGATTAAAAAAAAAAAAAAGAGGCTGCTTTATACAGTTGTGCGCACTGCTCTTCGTGCAAAGGCTCGCAGTCAGGTAGATCGGTGAATTACATCCACCTAGGGGAAGGAAATTTTGCTGTTGTTATTTTGGTTTGGTTTGATTGGGTTTTGGTTTTTTGAGACAAGGGAGGTCTTGCTGTGAAACCCAGGCTGGCCACAAACTCATGATGATCCTCCTGCCTCAGACTCTCCACTGCTTGGATTACAGGCATGAGCCACCACACTTGGGTCCCTCCATAGTTCTTATACATGTGAAACACTTAGCTGAATTTCTTGCAACAACTGTATCAGATGCTAACTAAATGCACTTAAAGTGACATCATCCCCACCACACAGCACACAAAACCCACATGAGCTCAGTCAAACCAAGGAATCATGAGAATTAAAAGCCTGTCACTGGGCGAGCCACTAAGTTCTGGAGTGATTTATTACACAGCAATGGCTAACAAGTACTGTGTGTCCCACCCTCACACATCTAAGCTAAGCATCATATCATACAAAGGTACACTCAGATGAGCAGACAGGGGACTGCACCCAGCAAAGCTGAGCCTAAGCTGCTGTCCTTCCCATACAGCCCCCATTGAGGCCATGTGTTTAAGACAGGCCACACAGCCTGCTGGCACAATGCAGGCTTTATGTTCAGATGGGCTGAGATCCTGGTTCTCCAACCTGCTAGCTGGGGGAGCTTGAACAGTTACTTAAACTTCTCTGAACCTCAGTTTCCCCGTGATGTAAATGAGTCAGTCAAGATGGCTTCTGATGCTTTTGGGAGGCATGGAGACAATACTATACCCAGGGCAAATGTCCATGTCTACACACACACACACACACACACACACACACGCACAACTTGCCCAGAAAATTCCTACCTATGCTTCAGCACACCTTTTAAAGATGCCATTTCTCCAAGAAGGCCTACCTATGGCACTCCAGCACGCATCCCCACCCCTCTGCATGTTCACTGTGTGACATACACATCCCCCATTGAAATTATGCTAACTTCATAATTTATTATTGTCAGTCTCTCAAACTAAAGACCATTGTCTCCATGAGAAGAGGGTCTTATGTGTTGTGCCCTCCTAGGTTTTTCCAATGCACAGAAGACAAATCGAAAACACTGAGTAACAGAAAAGCCTTTAGCTGGACCTGACATGTGAGTATACTACAAAGGAGAGTGTATGGGATGTTGTGTGTTGTGTGTGCGCTTTTGCAGGAGACCTGCCTCGGTAGAGTCCAATGGGAGAGGAAGACTCATCTAGAAGAAACCCTCAGACCCTCTAGATGGTCAAAGTGTCCCTCCCATTCTGGAGACAAAGAGCTCCTTTTCATGATGGCAATCCTTCCTCAAGAAGCAGTAGCACTATAGTTTGCATCTTGAATGTTCCCCAAAGGCCTGTGTTAAAGGCTGGGCCCCCAGGGAAGTAGTGAAATCTTGAAGAGGTGGTGAAGACTTGTGGGGAGCTCCTCAGGCATTGGGGACACACCCTAGTATTGGACTGTGGGACTCCAGCCCGTTCACCCTCTCCCTGGCTTAGACCTAGGCAGGTTGTTGCTCCACCACAAGTCCAGAAGCAGCAGGACAACTGATTATGAACTGAAGCCTCCAGAACAGTGAGCCAAGATAGACCTTTTCTCCTTATACGCTCACTGCCTCCAGTACATCATCATAATGGAAAAGCGACTAACACAAGTGACATTAAGGAATCCACACTCCAACCTGACAGCCTGAACCAAACACAGACTGTTAGCTCTTCCTTGTATGTGCTCAGATGACTGGCCTAAGGCAAAGTCTACACAAGATACACACATTCATTTCATCAGATTTTTGCTAAGGACCTAGCAGGTACTAGGCACTGTTTCCAGATCCAAAGATCAAGGAACAGCTCCCTGTGGTCCCTAAAAAAAGTCCTCCATAGCAACACCATGGAACTCAACACCCTCCTCACTCCTCAATTAACTTGGGTTCCCTGCTGAGTCTTCTTCCGTAATGGAGGCTTCTCATATACTAGAGGTCCCACCTGACCACCTTCCCAGCATCTCCTCAGTCTGGGCTTCCAGGGTGCATAGATTCCACTGTAGGGAGTGCTGCCCAAGGCCAGCTGCAAACATTACAAGTCTTGCTTAAGACTGTGAAAGCTGGAGAGACTTAGAAGACCTGTGGGCAGAACCCCTCATCATATAGACAGACTCTGCATCTGGGAAAGAGCTCTGGCTCAGGGTCACCCAGAGAGCTAACTAAACAGGGAACCCAACTAAATAGAATCCAGGGTACTACCTCCCAGACCTGGGTGACTTCCCTTTTTGGACGTTTCTCACTTTCCTCTTAGCCTGAATCACAGTCCCAAAAACAGTCTTCAGCATGAAGAGGCCCACAGAATGTTTTGATAAGGGTCCACTATTACACTAGTACAAACAGTATTTTAGAGCCCTTGCTAATCATCGGTCCAGGTGGTAAACAGTTTTCATTAATTACCTCACTTGAATCCTCACAACAACCCTAGGAATGTGTGCTGTCTTCCTCATTCTACAAACTGGCAAACTAAGGTACAGTGAGGATAAGTAATCTGCCAGAGGACCCATAGTTACTTAAAATAACAGAAAATACTAAAGCAATAGCATAACGCTGAGTCAGCCACGACCGTGGCTTCAAGAGCAATCACTAACTTAAGGAGTGGGTGATGAACTACTAGCATGCCAGTCCACCCCATGAGGCCTCCCCCAGCCCGTTGCTTCTGCCTGAAGAGCAGGGCGGGATGTGGACGTGATGCCTTGCATGCATGGCGCCCTCCGCTCTTCTCGGACCGCAGCCTTCGAGGAAATCTGCCTCCACCCTCACCCAGCACATCCCCGGAGCAGCACGCGCGCTAGAGGTGGACACGGAGGGTGGGTCTGGACCCGGATAGTTGGGTCAGATCCCTGAGCGGACGCAGGACAAGGCAGCCGCGGACACTGGAGCGCAAGGAGCAGCGCAGCTCTCGGGAGCGGGCGCGCGGCCCAGGCCGGACGGACTGGTACCTTTCGGAGGAAGCAGGCGACTACCTGCTCGAACGGGTACTGGAACACCTGGTGCAAGTCCACGGTGACCCCCATGTCGGGCACCAGCCACCAGGTGCCGCGCCGAGCTCCGGACGCCAGCCACACCCCGCGGCCAAAGGGGCGTGCACTTTCTCTCCCCTTTTCAAACTTTGCAAACTTTATTGTCCCCTCTGAGACAAGGCTATCGGTCACGCCCACGTCCCCTTCCACCAACGTCCTAGGTGGGTGTCAGGAAAGCCGGTCCCAGCCCAGGATCCCTGCCCTGCCACGCCTGCAGATAGCGCCCGCCTGCGAGCTGCAAGCCTTGCACTTTGGAACTGGGTTTTTAAGCCAGCACTGCCTAACACCCCAGAATTAAGCTCTGGTGACATAACTAAATATAAATAAAAAGTAATAACTAGGTAAGCTGCCTGCCTGGCATCTCGAGTGTGGTGCTGTAAGCCCTCCTCAGCTGAGTCTGGTGAGACAAAGGCTAACCTGGACCACTACCTGGGGTGCGAGGCCGGGCCTCAGGTAGGGAGGAAACTGCCCTCACCCGGCACTGTCGAGGAAATACTCTGGGTGTGTATTCAATTCTAGGAAGTTCCTTTGCTCAGGTTAAACACTGCTGAGCAAGGAATAAAAGGATACGGGGAGGGGCGGGGGGGAGTATTCTTTACTCCAAAGCTCCAAAGAACAGTTGTTAACGGAAGGAGCAAATGTTACTACAATGTTTATTCGGAAAGTTATTCAACCTGTTTCTAAATACATGCTGTGTGCCTGACACTGTAGATTCAGCAGCAAATTCAACCCAATCCCTGCTGCTTTGTAAAATGAATGAGCCATGTGATTTGACCGCCAATCAACACTGTAGAAAAATAAGGATAATGGGTTAAAGTTTCAGGGCCTAGACATGGTTGGGCTGGTTGAGCATGGACTGTTTCTGAGGTGTTGAAGTTTACATTTGCCTGCCGTGCAGAATCTCACCGGGAGACAAACTGTTAGCCTTTGCTGAGGCTCCTCCTAACCCTCACCCAAGCAACTGAAAGAGGTTGGAAGAAAATATACACACAGTGACAGTTGTCAAAACTCAACCACCAACCTCACAGGTCTCATCTTTTCCTATTTCTTTTTTTTTTTCTTTCTTTTGAGAGAGAGAGGCAGAGAGAGGGGCTGTCTCGTCTAACCCAGACTGGCCTCAAACTCACTATGTAGTTGAGGATGACCTTGAACTTCTTATTCTCCTGCCTCCACATACTGAGGGATTATATGTTTGCATCACCGGTCTTTTTTTTTTTTTTTTTTTTTAATGTGGTGGTAGAGATTGGACTTAGAGCTTCATCCTCAGCCCCTTCAAGGGGACTTTTAATGGTGTTGGGCTCTATCAAAATATAAAATTTCTCTAATTCACTTGCTCCTCCCCCTTGCCCCTTGCCTCACACCTCCACAGCCTCCTGATTTCCCTGCCCTGTTCCCTTGATTTCCTTCTCACTCAGTAATAGGACACATTTTACCACTGTGCTTGTGGGTGAGTTCTCTGCACTTAGTTTAGGGACAGTCTGTCCACCTGTCTTCTGAAAACAGAGATGAACAGATAAATACTTAACAAACTGTCCTCCCACATCACTCATCAAGAAGATGCCCCTCAGACATGGCCACAGGCCAGTCCAATAGAGGAAATTCCTCAACTGAGGATCCCTCAACCCAGGTGTGTCAAGTTGACACTAAAGCTATCCAGCACACCAGTTGAACAACTTGTGTAACAAGAACAGGATAAACTTTTTCTTTTTGAAAATTTCCATCATAAGTATTGTGTTACATAAGGCTATTATGCATCATACATTGGGCATATCCCCCAGACCCCTGTCCTCCCCTGTTCAGTCTCCCCCTCTTCTATTCATCCTCTTTGTTCTTGTAGCCAGTTTCACTTCTGCTTTCTATATTGATTTTTTACATTCCTTGACAGTTTTATACATGCACATACTTTGATCATTTTCACCACTGTCATAGGGAGAGGAAGGGAATGTAGGTCAAAATGGAAAATAAGAACATGTCCCCTAAAACTACAACTTATTGTTTCTGGGATTGTGGGGAGAATAGTGGGAAAGAAGAGTCCATCAGGAGTAGACATCCAAGCAGATCAATGAGGGTGAAAGGGAAGGGAGGGTCCAGTGACCCTATAAGACCCTGACCCAGTGCCTTCTAGAGGAACTCTCAGGTCTGAGAGCCCTCCCAGCCCTTGGGATGCTGTTTCTTTGTTTCAGTAAAACTGTTATTTTTCTTTCTTTTCCATGTCCCCTACTAGGTTTTCTGTCTTTCCCTTGAGATCAATTCTTTGTCAATCCCAAGGGAACAGACTGACTGAGAAATCCCCTAAACTAACTGCTGCCAACAGTCCCAATTCAACTTCACTTGTCACCTTGATAAACCTGGGAAGAGGGAACATCAACTGAGGAACTTCCTCCATCAGACTGGCTTGTGGATGTGTCTGAGAGGCAATTTATTGATTAAGAATTGACGTAGGAGGGCCCAGTCCTCTGTGGGCAGTACCATACATAGGCAGATGGACTTGGGCTGTATAAGAAAGGTAGTTAAGCAAGTCAGGGGGAACAAGCCAGTAAGCAACCTTTCTCCATGGTCTCTGCTTCAGTTCCTGCCTTGGCTTCCCTAGATGATAGATTGTAACCTATAAGCCAAACAAACCCTTTCCTCCCAAAGTTGTTTTTGGTCATAGTGTTTATCACAGTAACAGACACAGACAACCACCTATACCCTCTGACTTCACACACACACACACACACACACACACACACACATACCACATACACACAGTCTCTTCCACTGAATCTCTTATTCTTAACAAGTCCCCCTCCAGTACTTTCAGAAGTTTTGTTTTATTTGGGGTTTTGTGCCCCTCTGAATTATGATTGCTGCTATGAGCACAGATGGGGGTAATTATTTACCAGTGTTGCACAACTGAAGAAAGTGACTCCTGTCTCCCCAGCAACCATTAATTACCAATAGCTCCTCAGATAAAGGAGGAGAGTCGTGAGCCCCTCCTCCATCCTTGATGGAATGATGACAGACTCAGTCATGTGCAGTTCTTGTGCAGGTAGTCACAGCTGCTATGAATTCCTGAGTGCCACAGCCACACCGTGTCCACAAGACAGTGTTTCACAGCACTCCTCCCCATTCTCTGGTTTTCACATTCCTTCTGCCACCTCTTCCATGGTGTTCCCTGAGCTTTGGGTGGGGGGTGATTAGGATTGAGATTAAGACTGAGCACTCAAGGCTCACTTATTCTTAACACTTTAGCTAGTTCTTAGTCTCTGCAATAACCATTGCCCCATTACAAAAAGAAGCTTCTCTGGCTAAGGCTAAGAGCAGCACGAATCTATATGTAGAAACATAAATATTTAGAAGGCAGTTAGATGCCATGTCCATTTAGCAAAACAACAGTAGAAGCTTCCTCACTAGGGCCTATGGCTTCCACAGCCATGGCCTTTGACCAGGTTTACAGTACCAGGCCTGAATCACCTCCTGTGGAGTGGGTCTCAGCCCTAGTTGGAAAGCAGTTGCTTACCTCCCTAACAGTCATGCCATTATTAGAGAGACACATCTTGCCTATCAGGTGGGTATCGTAGCTGGTGGAGTTCACAGCTGGGTAAGACTGTTGATGACTTTTTCTCCCAGCAGCCTGCATAGCACCTTCTAACACTATAAAAGCTAGCCATCAGAGAGGAAGCCTCCCGCAAAGTTCCAGGTGATTTCTCTATGTCCTGCAATCACTTTTATTATCATGTCATATATACATACAAGATTTTGTATATCCATATAAAATCTAGAAACCGTAAATATGACAGAAAACACATGTATCTTTCTGAGATTGGTCCACTTTGCTTAACACAGTTACCTCTTAATTGCATCCATTCCCCTGCAAATGACAAAATCACATTCTTCCATACAACTGAAAAAATATACACCACATTTTCTTCATCCATTCCTCTGTTGAGGGACACCTAGGCTGGTCCCATAACTTAGCTAGTAAGAATAGTTCTGCAGTAAACATTGATATTCAAGTATCTCTGTAATATGTTGACTTGGAAGTCTTTCGGCAATCCCAGGGAGGATAGAGGTGGTTCATATATTAGGCCAATTTCTAATTTTTTGAGAAACCTCCATGCTGATTTCCACAGTGGTTGGACTAGTTCACATTTCCACTAGCAACAATAGTTAATTTTTAAGCCCTGTGTTGCATAATTTCTTCTGGGGAAACATGAAGAAACATCTAATCGCTCCAGATAGGGCACTAATTACAGATCAAATAAACAGGTCCACCAAGACCAGCTTAGTAGCCTATGGGTTTATTGGAGTTTAGGAGCATGAAGGACAAAAGCAGTTGCATCACCAAGAAGTCCACACCAGGATGGGTGACAACTCACAAAAACTGCATTCTTGACCCTCCCTACCCAACTAGCAGGCAACTTCCCCAAAGAGTCTTCAATCCCAAAACAACTGCTTACTGCTTATATGACCTTGGGACAGGCCTCATGAGTCTTGTGAGTTCTGAAATTCTTGACTGTTGTGGAGTTTTATTAGCTTCCTGAGTCTTATGTGGAACTCCACCCACCTCTCTGGTAGGGAGTGTTTTATTCTAGAGGAACTGACAGCACAAGCTCCACTGCTCTAAACCTATAGGCAGAATTTCTCTGAGATGCTGAGTCATAACAAGTGAAGTCAGGTCCCATAGCAGCTACATGTGTTCAATGTCTCTATGAAGAAATTTCACTGTATCACCAACTCTTTCTTACAAGGGGGAAAATGTCCTAGCATGCCTGTAAATCCCAGCACTTGGAAGGTAGAGGCAAGAGGATCAGGAGTTCAAGGCCAGCCTGATCTACATCAGATTCTATTTCAAGCCAGGTGTGGTGGGTCATGCCTTTAGTCCCAGCATTCGGGAGGCAGGGGCAGGCTGATCTCTCTGAGTTAAAAGCCAACCTGGTCTACATAATGAGTTCCAGGCAAGCTAGGGCTACAGGAAGACCCTGTCTCAAAAAGACAAAAAAGAAGATTCTATTTCAAAAGTCCAAACAAACAAAAACATATCACTCTGGAAGCCTTCACAGGCCCACCAAGAAGAGATTTGCTTACAAGTG